CCCGCGCCCTGGTGAAAATTAACCCTGTCCTGGCCAAAACCAGGACACAGCTGTTTTGGGTTTGGATGGTTTTGCCCATCCATCTACCACTAGTTATTTGGAACACTGGCATTCCCCATCTATCTACGTAACAGAAAAAGAGAGAGCTTCACTGAGCTGGCAAAGTGTTATGTAAATGCGTCCTGTTATTTAAGAAAACAAGTTTTGAATTATGGACATTTATTCTGCAGTTACATTGGGAGCAAACTGGCTTGTGCATATTAACCTGCCCACAACAGCTCCTGTGCTCCCATGGTTCCAAAAAAACTAACGAGGTGCTACCTTCATCCAGGATGAAATCTTATGCTTCTTTTTGCCACCATGCCCTCTTCCCCCATCACCTCTGTGGCAGTGCTTCTATATAGCTCACAGCTTCCCTAACAATGTTGTGAAGAGAAATTTCTAATGCCCGAGTCGCCTGTTTGAAAACAAGAACAGCATGAAACCAAATGGAACACAAATACAACGTTTACCTTCTCCCGTGCTGTTCTTTTCCCAGTTTGCGCACATTTCACAATGTGGTGCAATTCCAAGTGGTAGTACTTCTGAACAGATGTTAAAGTCATGGAGTAGCTAACTAAAGAGACATATAGAAAAATACATGTTAGGATCAGTGTTCACTATTGGCACTGTACCAGCTCAATAGTGTATTCTGCTGTGGTAACTTCCACTTTCTTTTGTCAGTTCCTTCCTGCTGGTTTTACTCTTCACTTTCTCTTTTTCACATCTTGAAGTCCCAACCTTCCTGCACATAGAGAAGAGAGTATTTTCTGTTGTAATCTTGGTCAGTGTCACTTTGTCTTTGCTGATCGTTTTGCAGGAACCAGTGTCAGCAGAAGCACAGCTGGAACATTGCAGAGGGACTGTTCATCCCTGTCACACAGCACCATGTCAGGTTTAAAAGCACAAGCTTTGGATCCCTCTGTCCCTCTTTTATGAAGTCCAGCCATGCTTACTCTGATATAGCTCCAGTTCCTCCTGCAAGAAGTCAGTCCTTCATAGGTAGTCTTGCTGGACACCTTCACTATTTCATGACTGAAGGAAACTTTCCATCTCAAGCACTCATCTTCCCAGGCTGCAGAAATAAAATGTGCCAAACCTCAGGAAGCCTGTTCTCCCAAATGCGTACTATTGTTGCATCTCTTGCAGTTACTGATAAACCAGACATTATATGATTAACCCACCACTGTTAATGTTTGCATGTTGTTTTAACCCCATGCCAAGGCGTCTTTCTCATACTTTTGCAAGCAACATCTCAAATTATTTTGACTACTCACCCTGCCAATCTTTTACTCAAAAGGAGAGATAAAACAAGTAAGCTAGCCTTTTTCATTTTCGCTTTCTCATCTTTTTATTACTGTAGTGACTAAGACCTTCAAGAAGCTAGCAGTTAAGATGCCATCCACCCTTACTTATTTCAGTACAGGCCCATGCATCAGGGCTAAAATCACTGTCAAGAGGCTGAAGGTGGAATCCAACAGAACTGGATACCAGCAGTGGCAGCGCCATTGGTGTGTCAGAGTTATGCTTGCATGTCTTCAAACGAGGTTATATTCTGTAAATATTATGGTGTCAGTAGCTGTTGCTGTTATTGTTGTGAGGAGAGCTAATAAAACTGGCTAGAAGGTAGAGCGCAGCCTCTTCAAGTTACTGCCTGCTAGAGCCTTCTCGTTCCATATTTTTGACTCTTTTCTTGGGCCTTGCTTGGACATAGTGCGGCTATAATTGCAGTAGTAATAGTGAAAAGAGAAAAGAAAGAGCTTCATGTGAATTCCCTGATCTTCCTCAGGAAATTCACCCGTCATTACCACCTCTATTTTCGCTTCTGTAGGTCCAGCGCTAAAGGATGATGATACGTGTATCTCATGTTTTTCTGGACCACAGCTGACATGCATCAGATGATGACCAGGACTGAAACTACAATGATAGCAGTTTCTTTCTGTTAAAAGCACGTGAACAGCTTTTAAAAAGACACTTTCTATTTCTAACCCATTCTTGAAAGAGCTATTTTCTCATCAACCAGCAAAAAGGACAGATCACTGGTGGAAATATACCCGATTTGCTTGCTTACTGGTCCTAACATTAGAGGAGATATCACACATGCAATCCATAGTTTCCAATACAACTCTCCTTCCGTTGTATTTTCTAGGTCTATTTCTGCACTTTTGAGGTGCTGTACACAGTTGTGTTTGAAAAAGGCCCCTATTCTGTATGTATCACTAGGATTTGTCTCTGCATGTTCCTTCCTACTCTGCTGTGTGTAAGGTGCACTGTATCAGGCTGTTACTCAGGCTTTAGCTGTGCTTACAGTGAAATGAGTGCTTTTCTTGCCCTTCCAGACCTTCCCCATTGAGGAGTTTGGCAGGAAGACACTGCTGTGCAAGGGCTATGCTTTAATAGCCTTGGCACTGTCTGTCCTCATAGTCACCCTCTCCCTTCAGGTCAGAAGATATTTTTAACTATGTTATTCCCATTGCTGTTTCACACCTAAAGACTGGGGCGTTTCATGTCACAGCAACAAAACAAACTGTATGTAGACAGCTATAAAGTGAAACTTTGCCATTATTGTCGTCATTTTGTTAGCATGTTCAAGGTGCCATAAAAGGAGAAGCAAAAGAAAAAAAAAATATGTCTCCAGTTTATTTCCAGGAAAAGCTTGTCTCTTTCTGATTCCTTACGTTACTGCGTTACTCATCAGCTCAGGCATCTTCACCTACATCTTCCTTCCAGAGACAAAGGGGAACTTAGTTATGGAAATAACCAAAGAATTTGGCACTTTACATTTTAGGAAGAGTCCTCATTCCTTTACCGGTGATACTTCTCTTGAGGAATGTATCACCTACACTAGCTTATAGCTGGTCAGCAGAAGGACTGTATATTAAGCTCCTAAAGGACCTTGATGCTTGCAGACTGCAAAACAGGAGCAAATTATATTTGTTTTCTATTATTGGAAAAAATACAAATATTCCTTCATAGACACAAGTGGAATCTTCATGAATGAACGTCACTCTTACATCACCTTAAAAACCTGAAAGCAGTCAATAATCAATGTCATCATAAGATAAAATACATGTTATGCTAAACTTACAGACTTCACTTTGGAGCTATTTTGTAACGAAATGTCTTGTTAAGTCCCAGTCTCTGTGATTTTGCTATTCAGAATTTCATTCAGAGCTATGGATCGTAACAAACCCAAAGTCTCAAATCAACCTAGAAGAAACCACTGAATTCTTGTCAGTGTGAAATTAAACTGCAGATGGCTTCAGTCATCCACAAAAAGCAATATAGTCTAGATCAAGCTGGCTTAGAACCAAGCCCAGCTTTCAGCTCTTTAGATGAATTTATATGACACACCTCATGAAAATCAGTTTCATGTGCATGTCCATTTCACATCAAGAATTTCTTACAGCTCTTTGTAGAACAAATTAAAAGATCTCCTTTACTCTGTAATAATTCCTTAAACAAAAACCATGCACAACATTACAGTGTAACAGAGCTTTTTCTAGAATATAGGTGAAATTTTTAACAGAAATGGTGAATTCCATCAACTTGACAAAAATAAAGAGGTTAGCTCCTAGAGTAAAATCCTAAAATTCCTGATAAGGTGAAACAGTAGCATGCTATACAGTCATATGCACCTCAGAATCGCCAGAAATCCAAAAAATGTGAGAGAAATTTCACTGTGAGCTGGTGCAATTTGCTGCTCTTTGAGATCCTCAGTAATTATTTTCAAGGAGTGTAGAAATCCTTATGACATACCCCCTCATGCTTGATACAATTTGAGAAAAATTATGTAATAAAAAGGAAACATAAACATTTTGAAAAAATAGTCAATTTATTTTCTCAGTACAGTCTGATACATAAAGCCAGAACAGAAGATTTAGGCTTTGAAATTTGCCTTTTCTTTAATTTAGTAAACAGTGTTTACTATACCAATGAATCTGAAACAGAACACCACACATTTTACTTAATAATAAATAACAGTACCTAAACCTTGTATCAGCTTTTTTTACTTTGTGCAGATTACAGCAGATACACTTGTCGGTGTGTATCACAGAAGTATTTTACTGTTCCTGGAAAACTGTTTAGATTTTTTTGCCTGAACTGTTCTCCTTTCCCTTTCCAAAGCCCTCACTACCCCCCAGATGCAAACTTTCTATGCTTTGAAACTGTGCCCCTGTGGACTGGTCTTGATACAATTATTTCCTGAAATATTTAATCCAGCAGTGTTAACTTTGGCCAGTTGAAGTAAATAAAAGTTAGTGAAGATGAAATAGTAAAAATTTAACTGGTCCGTGAATCCAAATGCCCACTGCCATAGCAGCAGGCAGGAGACAGAGACACAGACACCTGTGATGACAAGGACACATCACACACTGGACAACAAGTCCCCAGCCAGAGATGACCGGCTTCCTATCAGACCTGGTAAGTACTTGGTGGGGTATTTACAGCTGTGATATTTTTGTATGTTACTAGTGTTTCAAAGAAAACAAAATCAGTATCTCGGTAAAAACAAGGTTCCTATTCACTAAAAGCATCTTGGAAGTGGTTCTGCCCACCATTTTGAGGTATTACAGATGTTTGCACTTCATGTGCTCTGCCATCTATCTTTGTCATATTTTTATCAATATGATAATGTTTCTTAAATGTTTCCATTATCTGTAAAGTATTTGCTTATCTTCAAACATAATTTGCTTTGCTTACCTGAGGAAAAAAGAGTTTTGTTAAATAATTCAGTGCAAGAGATGGCAGGCAGGGGTTTTTGAAGGGCAGGGAACAGGACTGGATGTTTGCAGCTGTGGCATCTGACAGGGAAGTTTGTGGGAGCCTGCAGCATTTATATCCTGGCTATGGCTGAGTCTTAAACCCAAAGATGCTGCCCTATAAACCAGTGAGGCACCTCCAGTTAGGACAAAACCTCTTTGAGAAAGAGCTGTCAGGTCCTGCTGGGCACACTTAAACTCTTGTCTAGGAAAGAGGAATATGGCGGGGCATCTCTGAAAGGCTGTCGGTTTCACGGTGTATTTGCTATGTCCTGCTGCAAAGGCTGCTGTAGAGTAAACCGAAGTACACTGCTGGTTGTGTATTTTCAAATCTGTAATCAACCAGAAGAAAAGTCAGAAAAGATGTCAAAGCGGGATGCCTGTTCTCAAAGCTCCCAAGACTAGGGTGACCATGCTGCTTGAGACAGTCAGGTGGGGCAAGAGTTCAGAACTAATGGTGGTAGCAAGAGCTAGAAACAACACTTTCCTCCTACAGCACAGCTTGAGCAGAACAGTTGCAGAAGGGAACTTCTGCCCCAGGACCTTTCCTTGCTGCTCCCTCCATCCAGGTAAAAAACTATGGATTTCCAAGGGCTGCCACACTGACAGGAATCTGAGTGGGAAAACATGCTACAAGCAACACCAGTCTGAAGGGGTCCCATTTCAGACTTCTTTTGCAGATTTTTATATGCGGTGGGTGATTTCAGGAAGCTTTGCCACAAAACTTGAGTTGAAGGATCACTGCCCACTATTCAAGGGCCTGAAGGGTAGCTAGCACAGCAGCTGCTCTCTCAGATAAGACAGGAAAGTTCAGAGGGCCTAGTCACTCCTGTAGGCACCAGTCTGAGCTGCAGGTAGCCTGGCCACTGTCCAGACAGCAGACAGGAAAGTAAGACCTCCCTCCCCAAAATCACTCTCACATGTTTTAGCCCTGGAGTGTCGAATGACTTTCAGCTTGCTGCTCTGTTGACTAATTATCAAGAAAGGGAGGTAAATGTAATGGTTTCCGTAGCTAGAGGCTGGTTTTTCTTTCGCTGGGTGTAGGGGAAATT